ATAGATATTGAACATTTTTTCATATATTTCTTGGTCACTTGTTTCTTCTTTTGAGAGATGTCTATTTAGTTCTTTTTCCCATTTACTGATTGGATTGTTTATTTTATGCTATTAAGTATGTTTGTTTTGTTTGTTGCTCTAATAGAATTTTGAGAATCATTGAAAAGAAATGCTGAGTGTGGACATCTTTGTCTTGTTTATGATTTTAGAAGAGATATTTTCTATTTTTCTTCATATAGTATGATGCTGACTTTGGGTTTGTAATATATAGTATTTATAATGTTAAGGTAAGTTTCTTTGATCCCCATTTTCTACAGTGTTTTTGAACACGAATGGGTACTGTATTTTATCAAAGGCCTATTCCATATTCATTGAGATGATCATATAATTTTGTCCTTAATTCTATTTAAATGATAAATTATATTTATTGATGTACATATGATGAACTAACCTTGCAAACCTTGAATAAAACCCATTTTATCAAGTTGTATTAAGTTTTAGATTTGTTTTTGAATGTAGTTTGCTGGGGAAAAAATATATAGACCAACATTCCTAATGAACAAAGTTGAAAAAATCTCTTTTGTGAAGGATCTCATTCCTTTTCTTTTAATATTGATGAGGTGGAAATCTGAAAATTCTTTTTCCTTTCTTTTTTAGGGGGATGGGGAGGTGGGGTTGGTTGGATTTTTTTGGAAAAAAAAATTAAAGTAAATACTTTGATAGTCCCACATGTTTCCTTGGGAGTGTCAGGACATGAGAATTTTTAGGTCAAACATTTCTGCATCACTCAGACAAAACAAACACCTGCCATGGGCCCCATGCTTCAGATCCTCTCTGGCCTTTGTCCAAATGGCCTTTCCCCATGTTCTCCCCCAAAGCCTAATTCTTCCAGACATGCCCCTGGTATCCAGTGTCTTGAAATTCTCTGCCCAAATGGCTCTGAGTTCACTTTCAGGTATGCCTTGGTAGTTTCATCCATAAGCCACTGAGAAGTATACTCCTGAACCTGAGGGGTAAACCAATGGCTGCCATGGATGAAGACTGAATATGCAGTCTTGGATATGTGCTTTCTCATCGAGATTCTCATTGTTGAGAAGTTGTTTTGAAAGTGACTGATTATATAGAACTATGCCTTACAAAATTTGGAAGTTCTTTAAAAAAAATCATTAAACAAAAATAACTACTTTTGAATAAATGTTTCACTATCCATTTGGGATTTAATTGTCAAAACTTCTTTTGTCAGATCACTAAAACTAGGGAAAGAGAGAACACTTACATTATTGAACATCATCTATATATGTGAATCAGATGTGCTTATTTTATTCATTCTCCCCCATCTTCATAAGGTAGGTATTATCCTCCTTTTACACACAGGGATGCTTAAGCCCCAGATAAAGTCACACCACCTGGGAGTACTAGAAAAGGGATTTCAACTCAGCATCACTTTCTATCAAAGCCCATTCTGTGTTTCTAATGTGTACTGTCTCATCAATTTTTTTATATCTTTATTTTATTTATTTATGTTTATGTGGTGCCGAGGATCAAACCCAGGGCCTCACATGTGCGAGGCGAACGCTCTACTGCTGAGCCACAATCCCAGCCCCTATCATAGATTTTTAATGACTGAAACAACAAGGTTATTAAGGCAGATTGTGAAGCCACATGAAAATTTAACAAATATCTGCTATGGATGCAGCAGGGAGAAGAGTCAACCTTTCTTTAGGTATTTTGCATCCCTTTGTAGCGCACACTCTGAAAACTTCTATTACAATAGGCAAGTCTCTCTAAGGGGTCACTTCTCTAACGAAAGGAAGCATATTAGAAATTGGGATGAGTACCTAAATATATAAAGCAAACTAGAAATATGAAGGGAGACACAGTCAGCAATGGAAGGGATTTCAATGCCCCACTTCACTAATGGACAGATAATCTAGACAGAAAATGAATGGGGAAATACTAGATTTGAACCACACTTAAGATTAAATGAAACTAGCGGTTTTTACAGGCATTCTACCCCAAAGCAAAAGAATACACATTCTTCTCAAATGTAAATAGAGTATTCTCCAGAACAAACCATATCTTAGGCCACGAAACAATCAAAATCATACAAAATATCTTTTCCAACCACAGTGAAATGAAACTAGAGAGGAATAAAAAAAAAGAATCATGGAAATTTAACAACTATGTTAAAATTAAACAATATGCTTGTAAACAACTAAATATAAATTTAAAAATATAAATTTAAAAATATCTTGAGACAAAAGAAAGTGAAAACACAACATACCAAAACTTGAAGGATGGAGCAAAAGCAATCCCAACGGGGTGATTTATCATAGAAATGATTGTGTCAAAAAAAGAAGAAAAAAAAAGGCAATCTAACTTTATATTCTAAAGGACTGAAAGAAGAACAAACTAAGGCTAAAGTTAGAAAAAGGAAAGAAATAAAGATCAGAGTAGAATTACAGGATATAAAAACTATAAAGGAGCAACAAAAGATCATGTAAAACCTCTACAAACAACTATGTGCTAGTAGAAGGTACAATTTAGAAATGAGTAAATTTCTAGAAACATATAAACATATAAGACTGAATCATGGAGAAATAGGAAATCTGGACAAATCAATAATGAATAAGGAGATTAGATTAGTAATTAAAATTCTCTAATCAAAGAAAAGTCCACCAGATGCCTTCACAGATGAATTTTACCAAACATTTAGAGAAAAACTAAGACAAATCCTTCTTAAACTCTTCCAAATTTTTGAAAAGAAGGAGTACTTTCAAATGTATTTTACAAAGCCAGTATTATTATATTACAAACCCTGATACTAAAGCCAGACAATGGAAGCCAATAACCCTAATAAACATAGATGCAAAAAGTCCTCAACAAAATACAAACCAACCAAAATTAAACAGTGCAAAGGATCATTTACTATAATCAAGTAGTATGTATCCCTGGTATGCAAAGATGTTTCAACATATGAAAACTGATAAATTGATTTACAGAATGAATGCCAAAAACCATATGATCATCTCATTAGTTGCAAAAAAAGAATTTGACAGAATTTAACATCCTTTTATGACAAAAAAATTACAAAAAAAGTATAGAAGGAATGCTCCTCAATGCAATAGAGGGCATATATAAGAAGACCACAATTTAATATCATACTCAGTTGTGAGAAATTGAAGGCCCTTCCTCTAAATGCAGAACAAGACAAAAACTTCCCCACAGTTTTGTTCAACATAGTACTGAAAGTACAAGGAAACACAAGAAAGAAAGAAAGAAAGAAAGAAAGAAAGAAAGAAAGAAAGAAAGAAAGAAAGAAAGAAAGAAAGAAAGACATCAAAATAGGAAAAAGGGTGAAATTGTCTCTGTTTGATCACATGATCTTAACATTAAAAAAAATTCTACCAAAAAACGGGGGTTGAATTGGTAAAAAAAAAAAAAAAAAAAAAATTCGACAAAGTTACATGATTAAAAAAAAATCAACTTATATAAATTATTTTATATAAACTAACAATAAACTATCTGAAAAAGCAATTAAGAAAGAAAATTCCACTGATAATAGCATCCAAAGTATTAAAATATTTAGGAGTAAATTTGACCAAAAAGGTGAAAGATCTGTATAGTGAAAACTATAAAATACTGATGAAAGAAACTAAAGATGGTACAAATAAATGGAAAGGTATCCCATGACTATGGATTAGAAGAATTAATACCCCTAAAATGTCCATAGTATCCAAGCAATCTACAGATACAATGTAATTACTATCAAGTTTCCAAATTTATTCTTCACGGAAACAGAAAAAATAATTCTAAAATTCATAAATAACAAAAGACCCTATTTAGCCAAAGCCATCTTTAGCAAAAAGAACAAAGAACAAAAGAACAAAGTTGAAAGCATCATACTATTTGATTTTAAAATATATTACAAAACTATAGAATCTGAATAGCATGATACTGGCATAAAAATAGACACAAAAGCCTGTGGATGAGGATAGAGTTTCCAGAAAAAAAAAAAAAATCCCACATTTGCATTCATTTGAATTTTGAAAATGATTCGAATAACACAGAACATGAAAAAGCCAGTCTCTTTATAAATGGTGTTGGGAGAACTGGATATTCACATACAAAAGAATTAAAATAGACCCTTCTCTCATCACTTATATCAGGATCAACTCAAAATAATTACAGACTTCAACGTGAGACCAGAAGCTTTAAAAATACTGGAAGAAAACTTGGTGAAAAAGCTCCAGGACATTTGTCTAGCTGGTGAATTTTTGCATAAGATTTCAAAACAGGCAATGAAAGCTAAAATAGAAAAAAGGAGGGGGGATTGTATCAAACTAAAAAATTCTGCACAACAAAGAAATCAATTAACATTGTGAACAGACAACCCATAGATTGAGTTTGCTCATACCCATGATAAAGGGCTAATATACAAATATATAAGGAATTTAAAATACCCAGTACCAAGAAAATTAATAGCCCTATTTAAAAGTGGGCAAAAGACCTGAACAGACATTTCTCAAAAGAAGATACATGAAAAAAACAAAATGTCTCATATCTCTAATCATCAGAGAAATTTAAATTTAAACAACAAAAAGATATCACTTCCCACATTGTTAGATTGGTTTTCACCAAAATTAATGATAACAAGTATTGGTGAGGATGTAGAAAAAAAGTACACTTATACACTATTGATGGTATTATAAATTATTATGACTAGCTTGAAAAACAGTACAGAAGATCCTCAAAAAACTAAAAATGAGCCAATTATGATGATGCATGCCTATAATCCCAGCAGCTTGGGAGGCTGAGACAGAAGGATCCTAAATTCAAAACCAGCCTTGGCAACTTAGTGAGACCCTAAGCAATTTAGCAAGACCCTGTCTCTAAATTTTATATATACATATATAAATGAATAGGATGTTGCTCAGAGGTTAAGCACCCCTAGGTTCAATTCCCAGTAACAAATAAATAAATAAAAACCAAAACTAAAATTACCATACAATCCAGCGATTTCATTTCTGTATATATCTGTCTTAATTTTCTTTTGCTACAAAAAGAAAATGCCTAAATCTGGGTAGTTTATGAAGAAAAGAAGTTGATTTAGCTTAAAATTTTGAACGATGAAATTCCAAATTCAGGCAGCCCTTCCAGTTCAGCTTCTGATGAGGGTCGCATGGCAGATACCATCATGGTGCCAGGCCTCACCTCTTAAAGTTTCCAAGACCTCAACACCTCCACAGTAAGTATGGAGCTTCTAACACATTAAGCCATGGGGGATAAATCACATCCAAACCCTAACAATATCCAAAGGCATTAGATATTGTTTTGTCAGCATTTTTTTTCCTGCTGTGACTAAAAGACTCAATCACAACAGTTGTAGAGGAGGAACAGTTTATTTGGGGACTCATGGTTTCAGACGTCCCAATTCATAGTCGGTTGGTTCCATTCCTTGGGGATCCAGGTAAGGCAGAACATCATGGCAGAATAGTGTGGCATCCAGGTGCAGTGGTACACATCTGTAATCCCAGCGGCTCTGGAAACTGAGGCAGAAGGGTTGTGAGTTCAAAGCCAGCCTCAGCAAAACAAGATGCTTAGCAACTAAGTGAGACCCTGACTATAAATAAAATACAAAATAGGGCTGGGGATGTGGCTCAGTGATTGAGTGCCCCTGAATTCAATCTCCAGTATGAAAGAAAGAAAGAAAGAAAGAAAGAAAGAAAGAAAGAAAGAAAGAAAGAAAGAAAGAAAGAAAGAAAGAAAGAAAGAAGAAAAAAGAAGAGTAGTGTGGCAGAGGGAAGTGGCTCACAAGATGATCAGAAAGCAGAGAGAGAGACTACATTTGACAGATACAAAATATATACTGAAAGCCATGCCCCCAATGCCTATCTCCTCCAGCCACACCCTACCTGCCTTCAGTTACCATTCAGTTAATCTCTATCAAGGGATCAATTCACTGATTGGCATAAGACTCTCACAATCCAGTCATTTCTCCTCTGAACCTTTTTGCATTATCTCACACATGGGGGACACCTCATATCCAAACCATAATAGATAGATGCCAAGAAGACATCTGAACTCCCATGTTCATTGCTGCAGTATTCACAATAGCCAAGATATGGAAACAACCACAGTGCCCATCAAAGAGTGAATCATTTTTTTAAAACCCTCAATAAAATATTAGTAAACTGCATTCAAAAATCACACTAAGAACATAGTACACCTTAATCAAGTGGGTTTTGTCCCAGAAATGCAAATCAATAAATGTAACTCACCACATAAATAGAATCAAGGACAAGAATCATGATCATCTCAATAGATGCAAAAAAGACCTTTGAACAAAGCAAACACTTGTACATACTAAAAACATGGGAGAAACTAGGGATAGAAGGAACTTACCTCGACATTATAAAGTCGAGACAAAGCCAAAATCAACATCATACTGAATGGAGAAAAACTGAAAGCATTTTCTCTAAAATCAGGTATAAGACAAGGATATTCACTCTCACCTCTTCTATTCAATATAGTTCTTAAAACTCTAGCCAGGGCAATCAGGCAAGAAAAGGAAATTAAAGGAATACAAATAGGAAAAGAAGAATTCAAATTATCTCTATTTTCTGATGACATGATCCTATATCTAGAAGACCCACAAAACTTTAGATTTAATACATAAATTTAGCAAAGTATCAGGATATAAAATCAACATTCATAAATCAATAGCTTTTCTATACTCGAATAGTGGTTCTGCTGAGAAAGAAATCAGTAAAACTATCAGACTCAAAATAACCTCAAAATAATAAAACACATTGGAATTAATCCAACCAAGGAAATAAAAGAAGAAGTCAACAATGAAAAGAATACTGAAGAAAGAAACTGAAGAAGATCTTAGATATGGAAAAACCTCCAAGGTTCTTGGGTAGGCAGAATTAATATTGTCAAAATGTCCATATTACCTAAACCATTATACATATTCAGTGGAATCCCTACCAAAATACCAGTGATTTTCTTCACAAAAGTAGGGGGGGAAAGTCCTAAAATTTAATTTGGAAGCATAAGAGACCAGAATAGCCAAAACAATCTTAAGAAGAGTGATGCTGAAGGCATCCCAAACCTGCTCCAAAATTATATTATAGAGCTATAGTTAAAAAAAATCATCATGATATTGTCATCAAAAAAGACACTAAGACCAATGGAACAAAATAGAAGTAACATAGACAAACCCACATACTTACAGTTACCTGATAATTGACAAATATGCCAAAAATATATGTTGGATAAAAGATAGCCTCTTTGAAAAATGGTGCTGGGAAAATTGGACATTCATATATAGGAAGGAAATAGATCCCTATCTCTCATGCTGCAAAAAGTAAAACTAAAGTGTATCAAAGACTCAAGAATTAGATCAGAAACTTTGCAACTGCTAGAAGATAATTCTAATATGTACTAATATATTGGTGAAGACACTAACATATTGGTACACACACTGACTTCCTTAACAGGATCTCAACAGAAGGAAAGAAAATGAATAATCAATAGACAAGAAGGAATCATATTAAAAACTTTCTGCAAACAAAGGAAATAATGAAGAGCATGAAGAATGAGCCTATAAAGTAGGAGAAAATCTTTTCCAGCTATTACTCTGTCAGGGGATTAATATCCAGAATATGTAAAGAACTCAAAAAGTTTAAAACCAAAAAAAAAAAAAAAAAACAGAAAACCCATCCAAGAAATGGACAAAAGAACTAAATAGACATTTCTCAAAAGATAAAACACAAATGGCTAATAAGTATATGAAAATACAAATCAAAACTATAATGAGATTTCATCTCACTCCAGTCAGAATGATAATTATCAAGAATACAATAATAATAAATACTGGCGAGGATGTGGGAGAAAGGTACACTCATACATTGTTGGTGCAATTAGTACAACCACTCTGGAAAGCAGTATGGAGAATCCTCAAAAATATAGGATTGGAACCAATGTATAACCCAGCTATCCCAACTCCTTGGTATTTATCCAAAAGAAATAAAATCCCATACTATAGTGATATAGTCACATCAGTATTTATAGCAACACAATTCACAATAGCCAAGATATGAAACCATCCCAGGGGCCCATCAATAGATGGATGAATTAATAAAATGTTATATATATGCACAATGGAATTTTATTCAACCATTAAGAAGAATGAAATTATGGCATTTGCTAGTAAATAGAACTGGAGAACATCATGCCAAGTGAAATAAACCAGATTCAGGAAATCAAGGGTCGAATATCTTCTCTTACTTGCTGAAGCCAGAGCAAAGTAGGGGTGGGGGAGTCAGATACCATAAAAACAGAGGAAAGATCTGTGAAATAGAAGAAGGAAATTGAGGAGGAGGAATGAGGGATGCTAAAAGGGAGGAAATGCAGAATGAATTTGGCTTAATCACTCTATGTGCATGTATAAATATACCACAGTGGATTCCATCATTATGTATCCATAAAGCACCAATTAAAATAACTAAATAAATGAATGGAAGGTAAATCGGTAGAGTAGAAGGAGAAGGGGAGAAGGAAGAGGAAAGGGAAAGAGAGGGCACCGAGGACTGAAATGGAGTAAATTTGATGCATGTATGATGATATCAAAATTAATCTGACTATTATGTACAATTACAATGCACAAATAAAAGAAAAAAATGTTTATGTACACATTATGGAATATTATTTGGTCCTAAAAGAGAGTATCTATTTTTTGCAACAATATAGATAAACCAAGAGGGGATCATATTAAGTGATCATACAAAGCCAGGCACAGATACTATATGATCTTATATGTGTAATCAAAATGTCAAAATTATATAAGTAGAGTGACATAGTAGGTATCAGAGACTGTGGCTTAGGGAGAGGATGAGAAACTTTGGTCAAACATTGAACGTTTCAGTTGGATAGGAGGAATAATTTATTTTCAATAACAAAGCATGGTGACTATAGTTAATAATTATGTACTATATACTTCAAAATAGCTAAAAAAGAATTTTAAATGTTGTCATTACAAATAAATGATAAATATGTGAAATGATGAATAGGTTAATTAGCATGATTTTATTATTTCACACTCTATATTTGTAAAGAAACATCATAGTACTCCATAAATACATGCAATTATTGTTAAGTAAAAATTTGAATAAAACTTCACACAAGCCAACATAAAAAGAGACACTATCACTAATATACCTTTTAAAAAAAAGAAATTGAGATGAGATAGTAAGATGGCAGTATAGCCAGGATGATGAAGGAAAGTCCAAGTTTTGCCTTGGTCCAGTAAGCATTGCCCCATATCCTCACCACCATCATCTTCATCCACCTCTCTCACCCTGAGGTTTCCTGTGGAATATATATATGACACGGGATGATGTAAACCAGGAACTAATACTCCAATTTACCTCTTGCCTGAGATACATTTCCACAAAGTAGCATTTTCTGGTAAGTTCGGAGAGTCCTCACACAGGCATGAGACTATGATATAGACTTTCCCCAGTATGGAGATTCCTCAGGAAACTTGGAATGGAACCACCATTTGATGCAGTTATCCCACTCCTCAGAATATTCCCAGAGGATTTAAAATCGGCATACTATATAGACACAGCCACAGCTCAACTCACAATAGCTAACTGTGGAACCAACCTAGGTGCCCTTCAAGAGATGAATGAATAAACAAAATGTGGTATATATACACAATGGTATATTACTTAGCCATAAAGGAAAATGAAATTATGGAATTTTCCAGTAAATGAATAGAACTGGAGATTATCATGTTAAGTGAAAAAAGCCAGTTCCACAAAACCAAAGGCCAAATGTTCTCTCTGATATGTGAATGCTAACACACAATAAGGGGGCAGAGTAGGGAAGAATAGAAGTTCATTGGATTAGACAAAGGGGAATCAAGGAAAGGGAGGGGGGATGGAAATAGAAAAGACAGTAGAATGAATCAAAGATAATTTTTCCTATGTTCATATGTGAATACAATACCAGTGTAACTCCACATCATGTACAAGCACAAGAATGGAAAGTTACACTCCATGTATGTATGATATCTCAAAATACATTCTACTGGCATGTATACCTTAAAAGAATAAATAAAAAAATTAATATATAGATAGATAGATAGATAGCCTTTCCCTTTCAATCACCAAGTTAAATGTGATGAGAACTCCCAGATACATAAATTTTTTTGTGAGATAAGGAAGAGGTATTACCTAGCTATCAAGAGAAATCAGTAAAAGGTTTTGGTGCAACTTCTTGTCCTTATCATTGTTTCAATGGAGGAATTAGGAAAAGGAGCCATGCCCAGGAGTGGAGCTTTTTCTCTGGGGAACATGACTCCATCCGTGTCCTAAAATCTGCCAATCATTTCAGTATGATTTCTTCTTGGAAAGGCAAATATATTATTATTGGGCATTGCCCCCAAGGCTGGAAAGTGATTTCTTCCTATAAGGAGCTTTCTAACTTCTTTGGTGGAATGAGTGGTCCTTTTTTTTTCCTTTAATATTTTTTATTG